TTCATTGCCGGACAGACTGCGCGCACGTGCGGTTAGCAAGGGGAACCTACACGGTCTTGCCATATCCTATGTGGACGATCCGGTGAACTTGTGGTAGCTCTTTGCCAAACTTGTATATCAAATTTGAAAAAGTCAGGAACATAAAAAGCGGCGGCCCGGAGACTAGACCCTAACTTTCAGCTTGCAACACATCGGAGAGACTAGCCACAACTCCGATATTCAAGGAACAGCCATCGTAGGCCGAGGAGCCTCAAAAGCTGAAAGATTGACGCTTGAGGCATGGTACTCAGACGCCAACTCTGTCAACAGGCATCTGGGCCTCCCTGCGGCCTAAAAACACCTATACCATTACGTAAGTAAAGGACAGAACACGGTCAAGCCGAAGTCGAGATTTGCAGACGAAGACGGCCCTGTGACGAAACCACTGGAAGAGGGAGCAGGATTACCAGCATCTTCTATCGTGGGGACGAAACAGAACACCAACTGCCGCCACGCTAAACTAAAATCCACGCGCAGAGCCAAACAACGAACGGCGAAAATTCGGTCAGCCAAGGCCAACACGTACAGCCGCAACTTTAAACTTGCTGATCTATAAAGTCAGTATTCGCGTCGACAAAGGACAGCCGGCCCAGCTGTCCGAAACGACAGCAAACCTACAAATTTATTCCGGTGAGCAGAAGATGAACTCTAAAACTTGTATTTATTTACAACTTTGTCGTACTTCAATTTGTACACAAATTCCTAGGCTAATTCTAGTTGCTTCGTTTTCTGTATTTTGTATTTTTTCACTTTTTTTTAAGTTGGCATACAACTGCTTGCCGCTATACTGTAACTGGTTTTCATGTTGAATCAATAGTGGACATCTTGCTCCTACTATTGTTCTTCACTGGACCGGGTACGTAGTCCATTTCGTCAAATCCAGGGTATTGGATTCCGCTCAGCTTGACGTGTTGTTAGTGTGGGATAGCAGTATCGATTTCCTGTCTCTCAGACCAAACGGGCATAGAAACTGACGCTGCTGTGTCCTAGTCGTAACCTTCACCATCCCTAGAACGCAGCGCAAGGTACCTAGGCAACCGATGATCGCGCAAACAATTTAGTCCAGTTTGCCAATCACATAACGCAACACCCCTATCGCGAGACGTCGCGATAAGAGTACATCCAGGCGGGATCGGATATTACTAGGACTAGAATGCGTGAGGTTATCCATGCCCGTGCCCTGTCGAAAAACGAAGGTCCGCATGGACTAAACCATTTATCCACAAAACTTCCCCTATTGTAATATTTTCGCGAAATGTAAAGTATCATTAGAAATGACTGAAAATGTGAAAACTGTGAAGGTCTTCTATCTTCAGGTTTGAATCTTGGATACAAACTTAGTCAGCTCGACGTATAAGAATTAGTCCCAAAGTTCATAGACTTATAGTCCTCATGTTAGTGCCGTTAGTTTTATATGGAGTTACTAGAGCCTTCGGAGATGGTCTTGAGGGAGCGAGGATCGACGGCCGGATTTAGGTGAAACCCACGAATTGCGCTCCTCGTGGAGAACATTCGGTAGCCTTGCTCTCGTGGTACTTTAAGCGGAAATTTTCTTTGTTAATTTTGCCTAGATTGAGCGATGGAATAAGGACTTTCATAACCAGGTGCTTGGAAGAAGCGAATCAAAAACGTGCTTATAAGACGCTTCTTCCCTACTAGCCGCTACTGAAGCAGAGTGCAGTCAGCGTGACTTTTCTGCGCATAAACGCAAGAAAATTAGATTAACTTTTAGAGTACTGGCTCATGTCTTTAGAAACGCAACTTTCTAACAAATTAAATAGAAATCTTTGTGGACTACTGCCGAGTTTACATCGTAGTTAGAAACTCTATGTATGAGTTTAACCGACCAACGCCGTCTTATAGTATAAATATGGAAGAAGGATTGACGAGCACCGGATCAACATGCTTATTGTTCTGAGCCTTCGGGCTCTTGCGGGAGCCAATCGTCAGAGATAAAAGCGTCCACGAAAACACGCAAGTTATAGGGGGCAGGAACCAATCAACCGCTATACGGGGCAGGGGACTCATCACCAGTGTGAATATGCCTGCGGAGAGCGATGCATGCCGGCACCAGATCGATATATCGATTGACTGAATTCTCATCCCATGCACAGGCTTCAAGCAATTCTCGGCTTATCTTGCTGCCGGCGTGGGCGATTATCGTCGCAGCTACGAAGTTAAACTCGTGACCCGTTCTGTAGTTGTGGGCCACCACTTGTGTCAATGTGTCAGCCCGGCTGACAGCCAGTTTATTTTCGTGAATACGCGAACCGAGCATGCGTTCAGTTTGTCCTGTATAGTTACAAGGACAGCTTAAGCATTGTTCATTGGAGTTCGGTCGGTCTTTTATTTTAACTACCCGGTTGCGCATAGAAGTCTTGGATATGTGTGAAATTCCAACACCTTGTTCCGCAGCGATGCGCTCAGTCACTTCTGAGACTTCAATTTGGGTCCTCCGGGGCCGAATGCGTAAGCATCGGTTTATAAATGCTTTCGGATAACCATTCCACATGAATTGGTCGCGGAGACATCTGGCCTCGCGTACCTTTTCCTCTGGCCTGTTGCAGAAAGTCTGAATCCGTTTAAAAAGTGTTTTTACACATCTTAGTTTGTGGGCAACCGGATGGTTGCTGTAAAAACTGAGAAGTTGTGTTCCCGAGGGAATCCGAAACGTCAGGGAAATAAAACCCTTGTTCCGGTGATCGCATCTTCTTCTTCTGAAGTTGTGTTGTGTTCGTTGTCTTCCTGTAAACCGTCGTCTCAATTCCACCGTTGGGCGTTCTCTTGAAGAAGGCATCAAGGAAGGGCAGCTGCTACCCTTGTTTTTCTTCCCTTGTGCATTGTATGTCAGGAAAGATTCCATCGAGCAAGTTATGGAGGTTTTGCAGCATGTTCTTCTTGATGATAACGAATGTGTCGTCAAAGTAACCACACCAAAGGACAGGCTTATGTTGGGTGAAGGCGGTGAATTCTAGCTCTTGTAGAACCAGTTCTGTCAATAAGCCGGAGACCGGAGAGCCCATCGGAGTGCCTTTAATCTGTCTGTAGGTTTCTCTAGCAAAGGTAAAGTACGTTTTCTGGCAAAATTCGAATAACTTCATAATGTGTTCAATTTTGAGTGGACTTCGAGCCTCATCGTATGCCTCTCCAAGTCTCTTGCGCAAGACTTCGTGTGCCAGCTTTGGGGGTATCCATGTGAATAAAGCAGTCACATCGAAGGTGACCACGATTTCGTCCGACTGAATCATCCGACCTCGAAGGTCTTCGAGGAATCGAGAGGCCGAGATAGTCGCCCACGCCGGCAGCCAGACAGGCCGAGAATTGAAGCCTGGGCCTCGGATGAGAATTCAACCGATCGATCTATCGATCTGGTGCCGGCATACATCGCTCTCCTCAGGCATATTCCTACGGCCGACACTGGTGGTTACTGAATTCCCTCCCCCCCCGTATAACGGTTGATTGGTTCCTGTCCCCTATAACTGTTGCCTGCCTTTTTGTGGATGTTTTTGTCTCTGACGATATACTCCCGCAAGAGTCCGAAAGCTCAGAACAATAAACAAGTTGATCCGGTGCCCGACAACCCTTCTTCCACATTTATGCAAATACCTAGAACGCGAAAGTTTTCATTCATCCGTTTTATAGTGTTTTGATCGTATACAAAGCTGGTGGATAAGTGTGCATCGCTGAAGAAAACCTATTGAAGAAACAGTTTTGTTAGACTGTGGAATACGAAGTAGTCCGGTCGGATATTAGACGATAGAACGTATCCCAACGGTTATGAACTAGTTGATAATATAAGGCCTGAGAGGCCAGAGTTTTAGGGATAATTTAGCTAAGTGTAGAAGGAACTGAACATGAGTAATGGGTAAGCGACTCCCAGACGAGTGCAAGTCCAGCCATGAGCGGGCTGCTCTGGGAGTGTCTGATCGTAAACAATCCCCGCATTTTGGTCCTGTTGTGGGCTGGCCTTGGGAAGGGGTTGGCCAGTAAGGTCAGACACGTCCGTGACCTTGACACGTC